GCCACCTTAAGACCTTTCTTCTCGAGGTCACTTTTTCTTCCCTCAGCTCCCAGCTGGCTCTAAAACGTCCTGCCGACGTGTATGGCACTAAATAAGTGTTTTAAAAAAAAAAAGGCACTCCAAGTCACTACCCCCCCGTGAAGGATGCTATACGAATGCGAGCTGTTGTATGATTGTAAGCAGCAAGGTGAATTGACGTCAGCGCTGTGAGCGTAAGCACTTTCCAATTTGGGCACCAAGCAACCAGCACCAATAATCCCCCCAGCAACCAAGCTCAGTGATCCCATAATGTCGGGTGTTTTTCCTTAAAGTGTTTGAACTGGACTTATCCATCCATCCACTGAAGTCCTTTATGAGGAGCTGGCAGACCCTGAATCTCTAATGTGATCTGGAAACTCTTCTAAGTTCCCAGTAAAGTGGTCAGGGCTTGTTATTCTTGTGACTCGCAGTAAGCACAGACTATGATTCAGCACCTTGGCTCGTGAAATGCCACTAATCTCGAAAGCCTTTGTCTCATTACCCTCCCTTCAAAAAGCTGTCAAAATTCTCGAAATGTTGTGGTCCAGTGGGAGGCACAGACACATCTGCCGTGACCATCAGGGATCCATTTCCTGGAGCTGACATACAAGCTGAAACCAGCAGCTGGCATCCAGCAGCCCAAAGTTTTTCCAAACTCAGGAAGACACAGATCCATCTTACGCAGAGGAAAAAACTTGCAAAGCCTTTTGCAAAGATGTTCGCTCTTACGCACTCGAGCTTCACGCAATGATTCTTGTGCCAACGGTAAGGGTCAGACTGAGCTGGTCTGTGTGTTCCGTGGAATAGAAGATCATGGGAGGGTGGCAGACACGAACAGTCAAAAAAGATAGGTTACCCACCAATCTTCTTCAGCAAAGAGCGGAACAAAGGAAAAGTCATCTGTTAGTCAGATGATATTCTCAGTCACAGTCGTGCAAATACTGCCTAAAATTGTATATAAAGTATTATTGTGCACTGCACTACATCTGACCCAAACTGCACGGGTAGTTTTGCTGGAGCTTTGAGTGAGCAATGAGGGTATTTTTCAGGATCACCTCACTCTCTGCGAAGCAACAATCGGCCTCCTAGAGGCTGACAATGCTCCCGCTGATCGCTTTGCTTCCGGTCTCGGCGTACGTGGCTTTGGCTGCCGCCCCCGACCCACCCCTCCCAAAATGCCCCCGCTTCTACTCCCCACCCATTGCAACTCGCATTCAGTTCTTCTCTCCCACCGCCTTCCTTGCCTTCTCTCTCTGGCCTCTCTTGCCTCCTTCAGTTCCAGCCTGGACATCTGCACAGGATCAGCAGATGGTGGTTTCTGCTGCTGGAGTTAATCACGATTCCAAATCACAGCTCCATGAACACGCCAGAGGACACTCTAATCCAATGACAGTTGGTACCATTCTTCTCTCCAAGTCAGAAGGCTGTGACTCTTTCAATCTCTTCATGCCCTACGACAGGACTTTGAACTAACAGGCTAACACTCCAGAGCAGAGCTTAGCGGGAATGTCGCATTGTTGGGCGATGGCGTCCTTCGGATTTCACGTTAACCCGAGGCCCCGTCTGCCTGTTCAAAATATTCCATGGTGCTATTCTAAAAGAGAAGAGTTTCTACCAGTGTTCTGGACAACAATCCCCCAAATAAAATTGCTCACTCACTTTACAGCTGGTTGTGAGACGTTGAGTAAATTGGCTGCCGTGTCTGCCTACAAAACGCTGTTATTACACTTTAAGAGTATATATCTATTCACAAAGCTACTTTGTCTCCTCCAGTACCAACTCCAGGCCCGCCGATGTTCTCTCGGCTTGTCTGGCAGATGCCAGGGCCTGGATGAGTGTAAACCTTCTGCAGCTGAATATGGACAAGACGGAAGCCATACTCCTCGGCTCCCGTCGACGTCTTCACTGCTGTGGATCTAAACACCTTAACCTCCCTGGGCCCTCCTCAGACTCACCGAACCAGTGCGCAACCTAGGAGTTTGATCCCCAGCTATCCTTCTTCCCCCACATCCGGTCCCTGACCAGGACCGACTTCTTCCATTTCCGTTACATTGCTGGCCTCCGACCATATCTTACCTCAAATGTAGCCGAAACCCTCCTGCTTGAATTACTCCAACGCACTCCTCACCGGTCTCCCCAGCTCTGCCTTTCAAAAGATGCAGCTCATTCAAAACTCTGCCGCCCGCATACTGAACCGGACCAAACTCCGTCCCCACATCTCACCAGGTCTGGCCCAGGCTCCACTGGCTCCCCATCACCGAACGGATCGACTTCAGGATCCTCACTCTCGTGTTCAAATCCCTTCACTCCCTGGCACCTCCCTACCTCTCCGACCTCCTCACTCCCCAATCCACCACCGGCGCCTCCGCTCGACTGGCATCGGCCTCCTGCTCGTCCCTTGCACCCTCTTCCCCACCATCGGAGGTCGTGCTTTCAGCCACTACACCCCAAAACTCTGGAACATTCTCTCTCAATCCCTCCGCCTTGCCCCCTTTTTCCCCTCTTTCAAGTCCCGCCTGAAAACTTTCCTCTTGGACGGTGCTCACGGCCATCTCCTCCCTCCCCCCCAGCTCGGAGTCAGGCTCCGCCACTGTTAAGCGCTCTGAGACGCTACCCTGCGTGGAGGGCGCTATATATAAGTGCAAGTTGTTGTTGTTGAATATCAAATAAAGTGCCTTGAGACATCCTCCTGACGTGAAAGCCATCGTATCAAATGTAAGGTTTATTTTTGATTCTGTTGGTTCAGTTCATCTCTCCGTTCAACGATCCCACATTAATCATTCGTAACCAAAAGAAATGTTTTTATCCTGGCGTAGCAAACAAAGATCTGCATACTTCACAAAGGTTCATCGCTCAAAGGTTTGGCATGCGTGATGTCAGTCCTGTTAATCACGCACACAAATAAGCGCAAAAGCATATTTTTCCAAATGTATTTAATGAATTTGTCAGGACTGTTGATATTGCCACACTTTGGAAATACTAACAGCACATCCAACAGAACTGCTAACAAAAACAAAACCACAATATTGGCGCAACTGTTTGCTTATTTGCACTGAAATCTCCTTTGGCTCTCGTACACCAACACGTATCAACCAAGCAAAGATAAAATATATTCCTCCATTCCCTTTTACCCTTTCTACTCTGATCCAAGCAGAATATTTGAAGACAAAATCCTACATTCAAGCATAACCATCTCTCTGTAATTACTCGTGTTTTTAATGCTCTACACACTTAAGTACAATCAATGCACCCGCACATTTCTGCCAAACCACCAACATCTGTCAAAAGTCTAAACTCACATTTCCATAAAATATTTGCTTTTGTTCAGATTGAATTGCAAATGAAACAATTAAATTGAATGTGATGCAACGATTTGCAAATCAACTGTGCCCGGCTAACATAAATCCACTTCTTAGGCATAAAATGTCTTTGATAACTAGTTCTGGTTTTATTTGGATTCAGTTGTAATGCATAATATGTACAGACTTACATATTTCCTATAGGAATAGTCTCACATGTTTGACTCGGTTATAAGTCTACAAACCACTAGTTCCGGACTTTGATGTTGCGTGCCATGCCGACTGGGAGACAAACAATGCAGAACACTTAATATAAACAGACACAAGTGGCTTAGGAATAATGAAGATCCAGTGAAAACATGTACTTTTAATGAAGAGACATTTTCCCAGGGCGATTTGTGAGTAAAACTTGTAGGCGATGTGTGAGTAGAATATTAGCAGCTTCTGTAATAGCAACACATCTGCTTTTTAAGGTCCTTACACAAAGCTAACACAGATGTGATGCAGGTTCCCTAACCCATCAGTGCCCTTGCTTTCATGTCCCTAATCTCTGGAACTCCCCATCTCAATTCCTCCGCTTCACTCCTATTTATCTTAAAAACCTCTCGAAGGCATGATAAAGCACTGTATCAAATGCAAGGATTATTATTATTATATTGTTGGTCATCCTCCTGCCCCCACCCCCCTTGCCCACCATCCCTCTGGATTCCAACCCCCAGCTCAGGTCAAACTCTCGACTGTCCAGCGCCTTAAGATTCCCTCCTGACGTGAATAAATGTATAAATTCCTCCCACAAATATATGGTCAATTGACTTTACAGTCTATTCTGTGAAGCACTTTGAGACGTTGAGAAGATGTGAAAAGCGCTATATCAAATGCAAGGAATATATTATTATTAAATGCAATTTGTTGTGGTTGATACTATGATGGTAAGACCGGTAAAGCTCAAGAGTTTACAGGGGCTATAATTAAAGTAAAACAAGGAAAATAAATAAAAGATACATGCGATGCCTAGTATATCTGTCATTTCTTCCTCCTCCCTTCCATTAAACTTAATCCAGAGACTAACGATCAAGTTGCCAACTGTAATTTACTAACAACATTGCTTAAATATTTATTGGTATAAATCAAGAGCAATCCGTTATAACTCCCTCCATTTTAGCAGCTTTGCTTGTAGCTCTGGTGTCTTGTGGACCCACACCACACAACTCCCGGTTTCTGCCACTGATCACCCAGCTTCAAATCTTTGGGTCAACGTTTGGGTCAACAGAAGCCTTCGATGTTACTACGCACATGCCTACAATCTAGAGCGTGTCACAAATTAAGTGACATTAGCAGCTCTTCTTAATTATAGTGCACTTATACGTACAGCCGCAGAAAGTGACATTAAAGGGGCTTCCTGCACATAGCACAAAGAGTCGTCAACAGCAACCACACAATATGGAAGTTGCTGTTATTTCTGCATTTCTCCAATAACGCTAATAATATCTGAGACGTTGGAGACGTCATCAGAAGCTTCAGGTATGGAAACCTCTTACTAGCCTAACCGCCTCTGAACACAAAGACGATCTGCATTGGCATTGTGTGTATTTTATGCCCCAAGTAAAAGAAAGTCCATCACACCCCCCCGCCCCCACCGACAATGCTGTGTCTGTCTTACTCTTTTGAGTATTTTTTCCTCACCCTGCTGATCCTGCATTTTTGCACACACCAAGCAGCGGCCTTTTCTCAGCAAAATTATCAATTTTCTGAGGACCTGTGAATAAAACCATAAAAAAAGAGAATTCAGAACAAAGAGGGACTTTTATCAACATATGTCAGCACTTCAGTGTCTGCCAGTTCTCTCTCCCTAAGTCCGCCACCCACCCACACCGGTCGGTCCATTAGGAGTACGAAGATGTAGTTGAGAGGGCAGGAAGCATGTTAATGGAATTACAACTGTAACCCTGCAATCAAATCATGATATAAATATTTCCAAGTCAAAAAATGAAAACATTCTTTCCTGTGGGTTCTGTACTCAGCTCGCTGAGCTGCAATCTAAGGTTTCCACACCGAAAAGAGGGAAGAAACTGCGAAGATCAAACGGTCACAGGCTGCGTCAGAAGTTAGCTTTGGGCAAGGGGAGTGAATTTAATGTGAAAGAAAACAATGGAACTACAAGTATTCTGTATCTGTGGAATCAACTGCTCAATGAGAAAGGCTGTACCTAGGAGAGACATTATCATGAAAACAGCTTTAAGCAATTAATACAAGGAGCAGCCTCTAAAAAGCCCGTTACCCATTTTCCTAAAAGGGCCAGGAAAGGCAGCGATTAGAACAGAAATTATTCCCAGGGAACACGGAAACTGAAAATGCATGTTGATCGGGTATAAACGAGTTAATGAGGAAATGAGGATTTGTTTTTATTAACATTATTAATGTTTCCGCACAAGTCAAAGACTTGATGTACAAGGACCTTTGAAGTTTTCTTCTAAGGCTTACTTCACTTGTGCACCATAGTCGATCTTGTCGACGAAACATCTGGGCTTCGGAAAACCAGGAGGGATCAGATGTCCTCAATCCCCAGTCACCCTCTTTCCTACCCTTGTGTCAACACCCTCCCCCCCACTACTCCACCCCCATCCATTACATATCTACACCACATACACAGAAAATATAAAAATCCATCATATTGAAGAAAAGAACAAACTACATGAAAAAAGGCTGGAATAAAATTAGTACACGCACAAGTCCATGACCGTGGGACACTGCTGTGTGGAATTGTCCACCGTGTTTCACCCGAAAATATACAGTCAATTCACTCTGCAGTATATTCTGTGCAGAGCTTTGAGACATCTCAAAGATGTGATAAGGCGTTGTATCAAATGCAAGGATTATTATTATTATAATAAGTTCCTCAGAACCATTACTTTTAGTGATGTGCTCAAACTGGCTGCCATGTTCACCCAACAAAATACACAGTCACTCCACTTTACAGGATATCCTATGAAGTGCTTTTGAGATGTCCTTCCAGGCATGAAAGATACCCAAACAAAACTCGAGTATGTGCTGGAGACAACATAAGATGAGCAGTCAAAATGGGTCTGAGAAAAAAAAGAGCTTGCATTTTTATAGGGTCTTATCACATCAAACATCTCAAAGCACTTTAGAAGAAATCACCATCAAGTGCAGCGATTGTTTTGAGGACAGCATAGCAGTCATTCACTCAGGTCAGATCTCAAACACCCATGAAATGAAGGCCAAATTAGTTTGAATGACTGTCAGCCAAGCCACAGATCAAAATGAGATGCTTAAAAATAACACCTGAACTTTTGCTCTCCATGTACACTCTGTACTTGTGAAATGCTGCAAACTAGGTTTTAATTATGGGCAAATCACAAAAAGCAGTCATGCAAAAAAAGGAATGATAAAGGGGAGTGAATCTTGTCATTTTTGCTCCTTACGTTCACCCCTAACCTATACTAACTATAGCGTTGCCAATTATTTTCATATTTAGAATTTTTCAAAAATGCTTCACCCAGTCGATAAATACATAAAAACAAAATTTAAATGAAGACTAAAATCCTCTGATGCGAGAAATTACTCTCGTGACCTGTACAGAAATGAACAAATATCCAACACAATGTAATGTGAAGTACATTTTGAGGATGCAGAGTCCAGTGTTGTCACACAATGTCTCACAGAATGACGATTCAGCTCCTACAGGTTTAACAGGAGAAACAGGATAAAATAACTGTGCGATTGAGTTAGAAGCAGGGGATGTTATGGCAGTATCGTCTGGTGAGCTTCCCGCTGTTTGTGTGGCTAGGACCACCCTACTTACCCGTTTGGTCCTTTGGCTTCCAGAGTTAACAAGAGTTGAGTACATCAAAGCTTTGAGACGTTTCAATGTGATAAGGTGCTATATCAACTGCAAGGATCATTAAGTATTATTTTGAATCTCCAAATTGAGCCTAATCCTTCCAGTGCTGAAGAACAAGCACAAAATAATATAACCTAAGGCTAAGTTGCAAGACTGTGGTTTGGATTTTAAAAGTTTGTTCTTTAGCAAATTTTTTTTTTAATCTCGACTCAGAGCTTTTGGGTGAGACACACCTCCCAGTGTGTGCGCTCAAACAGCAATAAAACTTCTGCTGGAAATAATTATCTAATATAAACTTGTAAACTTGATACTTGCAAGGACTGGCAAGGAATTAGACTCATTCGTATCGTCATTTTCCGGTACTGAATGCGATTTCTGCCATTCCATCCCACTAGGCTTCCACTCAAGCATTTGCACGTTGGAACTTATAAGAAGCCACGAGACGGAAACTACATTGAAGCGACAAACTACGTCTCAAATGTGTTTCATTAATAAATGTGTGACATAAACGTGCTAGTGATAGCACATCAACGCACTGCGAGTCTTGATTTTACTTATTTGAAAGTGTTCAGTAAAATTCAGTTTCAACCCCAAATCCTGAAGGCTGCCCTGTGATTAATTAACATCAATAATAACAAAGCTTCAATCCCTACCCGCAAGGTATATCAGTGCTGAGTATTTCTCATTAATTTTCTCAGATATCCATCTCTTTATTCCCTATTTATCCCCATTTTCTTGCCTTTCACAACAAATATCTTGCGCTTCCCTGCACAGCCGAAGAGCAAGAAATTGTACAATAGTAATAATCCTTGCATTTGATATAGCACCTCATCACGTCTTTGAGACATCTCAAAGGACCTTCACAGAATATACTGTAATTGCTAACTAATTGATACGAGGCAGGGTAGAGATTGGGACTGACTCCATGGGAGGATGAATACGCAGAGAAAATAGTCACTGAACGCTAGAGTAAATCCTGTGAAGCACTTTGAGACATCATCCCGATGGGAGAGGCACAATATCAAACGCAACGATGATCAGTAGCAAATAATTTCACTGTGCGACTTAGACATTGACAATTAGAATCATCCACGTGCTTCCAAGAAATCCTCTCTCCCTCATTTAAAAATATATGGCTCAGTAATAACTGCTCGATGTTCCAATTTGCTGAATGATTTTCTAGCTAAGTTCAACATAGTGGCCCTGATAATAATAATATTAATAATCGTTGCATTTGATACAGCATCTTATTACATCTTTTGAGACGTCTGAAAGCCTTTCACAGATTATACTGTAAAGTGAGTTGACTGTATATTTGTGACCAGCCTTCGTCTATCAATTGGCTGGCTGTGCGGGTGTAAAACAAATCGTAAGATTTTCTTTGTACTCTTAGGTTTTATTTTCCCTCAGGATATTAATAATCACTTCTAAGATGTAGCAGCTAGGAGATTTCAATAGAAAACAAAAAAATCAAGCTAATTTTAGTTCCCGTAAACACAGACATCTTGTAAAAGCAAGAGATTAGTTGTAATGAAAGCTCCGTAGCCACTGTCACGATATTGTGGAATCTTCCTAGTATTGTGGTGTCTACACACTAACACACACAGATTTCCAAATGTCAGTGGAAATTTCCAAAATATTTGTTCAGTAAATCTGGTTTTTAGAACCACAGCACTTTAATCAAGGAAACATGAGAGGTAATGCCACAGACATAGCAGTGAGACACCCCCCACCGCCTGACACACACACAAACACGCAGACACACACAGACAGATGCTTACGCATGCAACAAATTCAGATTCTGTACTCACTAAATAACACATGCCGGAATTTTAATTTTATTTATATTGTACGCTATTTACATGGAGAAAGAAAACGATCAGGACTAACCAGAGTAGACAGCAGTGCGTGTGTGTGGCAGAGCCAGTTGGTGTACAGATACATTGCACTTGGGGCCATTGGGTTTGTTTGTGTGATCTAGATTTATTGCTATATTTAAAATATATATAAATATATGTGATATATATCTATTTTGCCCACAAAATACAGTCAATTGACTTTACAGTGTATCCTGCGAAGCACTTTAATAATAATAATAATCCTTGCATTTGATATAGCGCTTTTCACGTCGGGAGGACGTCCCAAAGCGCTTCACAGAACACACTGTAAAGTGAATTGACTGTATATTTGTGGGCGAACGCAGCAGCCAATTGCGCACAGCAACTTTGAGACGTCTCGAAGTTGTGATAAGGCGCTGTAGCGAATGCAAGGATTACTGTCATTACTATCTACCACACTGTGAGTTGTTGTTCAGTGTCAAATGAATTGATGGTTGAGGGGAGTTTCCCAAAAACCATTGAGCAATGGCTGATGGACGGAGCCCCTGACTCAGTACCTAGCTCAAGAGAAGCACTGCAGAGAGTGTAGTTTCTCCCGGTGTCCTGGCCAATAATTCCCCCAAATAAAGTTGACACCTTGCCACGCACAGATTGGCTACCACATCCACCTACTAAGTATGCAGTGACTACACTTTATAGTAACTCCTGTGAAGTGCCTCCCAATTTGAAAAGCACTATATGACACGCGAGGATTATCGAGTTTATTATTATCATTTCAACCCGAACTCAGTGTTCGGTTTTGTCGGCTTGACGCCGGGCAAACAAGCAGGTTATATGCTTGTCATACTGCTTGGGGTAGGGAATAAAATAGTGTTTATTATAATCTGTAAATGGCACAAATCGCAAGTGAAAAATCCCACTGTGAAAAATCACCAGTGATAGCTAACTGGATTAGAATCTTTGCCTACAGGCACCCAGTACAAGATCAAGTCTTTGCGGCCTCCTCCAGACTACCGACATCAGGTCCATGAAGCATTGATGCAGCTGCCCCAGTTG